TCCACCAGCAGCTAACCTACCAGTCAGAGCTTCTCCCCTACTGTCATAGCAATTGGTCGACTGGTCAGCTGTCTGCCCCCTGGTGGTCAGTGGAAGTCATAGTGAGTGGTTGAGCAGCCTTAGCATATCATTAGCATATTATGCTTTGATTGGTTGAATGGCAGACTTAGCATATTAGGCTTTTATTATATAGGACTAGAGGCCTGGTGCACGAAATTCATGCGGGGGGGGGGGGGGGTGGTCCCTCAGCCCGACCTGCACCCTCTCTAATCCAGGAGCCCTCAGGGGATGTCCTACTGATGGCTTAGTCCCGCTCCAGTCCCTTCACCACAAAAAAATGACAACTTTCTTTAGGCATTTTCAGGATGTCTCTTTCATAGGATATGACATTTCTCTCTTTCTTTCTTTCCTCACCTGAGGATATTTTTCCATTGATTTTTAGAGAGCATGGAAGAGAGAGGGAAAAACAGAGAAACATCAATGTGAGAGGGACACTGTGATTGGTTGCCTCCTGCATGAGCCCTGACTTGGGCCCCGGCCAGGGTGGAGCCTGCAACCTAGGTACACGCCCTTGATCAGAATCGAACTCAGACCCTGTGATTGGCAGGCCAAGGTGCTATCCACTGACCCAAACCGGCTAGGGCAGGATATGACATTTCTTAGCCCCTCCAGCAGCGGACCTTCATTTTTTCCTCCAGGAGTGAGGTGGAAAAACCCTAGGTCACCTTCTTGGATTCTTATTGCCCAAGTTACCAAGAACACCTGCGAGCAGCATAAGGGGAGCTTAGCCAATGAGCGGTTACCACCCCCTGCTGCGAGCTGGCAGGCCCCTGCTCTCTGTGAGGCCTGCTCCATCGGCCGCCACGGCGAGCTGGCCTGCACCATCCCGTGGCTTGCCTCACTGCACATGCAGTCTCTTCCTGCCCATTTTGCGTGCGCAGGCTCCTCCGGAGCGGTTGTGACTGTTAATGGCGTCCCAGACAATTTGCAATTATCTCTTTATATATATAGATTGGCCAGAAATCCATCATATGACCATTCCCACCTGCAAGAATGGTTGGGAAATCTAGCTATGTACTTAGACAAAACTTGGGAGTTCTGCTGTTAAAGAGAAAATGGAAAGAAAGGAGGAGTGTCTACAACCTACAGATCATTTCCAGCCTTGCGCCAGTATAAATAATTTAATGAATGTCCTTGAATATGTTTTGGGGTACATGTATATTTGCAGGATAAATTCTTAAAAGTGGAATTGCTGAGTCAAAAGATACGCTCATCTGTTATTTCAATGTTGTTAAGTTTGTAACATCTGTGTATACTTGCATTTAGAGCTTAAATGGCTAATTAGGGATAGAAATTTAGTGCATGGGATAATATAATTTAAGTTGTAACAACATTCTCAAATATTTCTAGAGTGGTATATTGGCTTTTAGTGTGTCCAATCCTTGTAACACTCCTATGGGGCAGGGGAGGTGGTCATATTGTCACTGGATGAGGACCTGGCCTGGAGTGAGACTGCCTGAGGCCACTGGTAGTGTGTGGGTTCTTGACTTTGTGCAGGAAAGATTTCACAACACAGTCCAGGTGATTTGGAGAGTATGTTTATTAAAACTGGGGAGAGTGAAACAAAGGAAGGACTTACGGTAGAAGAAGCAACAGGAGAGAGCCTAGGTGGTGCTCTGCTTTGGGTCCTAGAAACGTTAGAGGAAACAAGTGAGGCAAGGCAGGGCTGCTGTTAGCTTACTGGAAAGTCAAGGAAAAAGGGGATCTCGGAGACAGATTCAGGAGGTAAGCCTGGGAATGGCTACTGCTGCCTGCTTTCCCCTGGTTGCAAGTCTTGTGGGGATTCTTAGAGTTTAGGAGAAAGGAAATAAAAAGTTCATGCCTGAGAACTGGCATGGGGGCTCTAGGGAGAGCCTGTGCTGATATCCTTTGTCTTGAGGATTTTACCTCTCTTTTGTGGGTGAGAATCTTAGGGGACAGTTTCAGCAGACTACTCATCAGCTTTTCAGGTATGTTTTTAATATGCTGGTGCATCAAAATGAGCGTATAGGGGAGTTGGGGTTTATTCTTTGGTCAGCTACACTGTTTTACTTTTATCTTAGGTTTTTCTGGCTTTAATGGGGTTTTTGTTTTTTGTTCTCCTGATTTCATCCATCCTTGAATTTGACTGGCACAAATGGCATTAACTGGGTCTCGATCCTCTATCTCCCTGACCAGGGTGATTTAAGCTATGTATTCTCTGGTTTGAGAGGAGAGGTATACACCATTTGTTCTCAAGTGTCCTTGGTTAGGGATGATAAGGTCTTACGATTCACTAGCTGTCTGCAAGTTGTTGAAATTGTTTGGCCTTGTTTAGTTACCTTGTCTCAGGTTCCCCATTCCACTTGCTCAGGAATTTTCCTACCTTCTTACTATCCTGCCTTAATATCCTCATTGACACATCAAGAAACTAAGGTTAAATAGATCAGGTTTTACTTAGTATCTTTTGACTGGGCCTAGGGTCCCAGTCTTCTCGCTCAAAATATGCTGTTTGTCTTATACCATTCCAAAGCTTACTCTTTGTGGAAAGAATAAATCCAGGACTGTGTTTTTACCAACTGAGCCATATCAGGGGAATTAGGGAAAAAAGAATGTGACTTATATTAATTTTCTCTGTGTCCTAAAATAGTAACCAAGGTCATATTATATACTTGTGTTCATGGTTTGAGCAGGGGTGGGGAACCTTTTTTCTGCCAACGGCCATTTGGATATTTATAACATCATTTGTGGGCCATACAGAATTATCAACTTAAAAATTAGCCTGCTATATTTGGTCAGATTTTTTAAAAAATATATTTTATTGATTTTTTACAGAGAGGAAGGGAGAGGGATAGAGAGTTAGAAACATCGATGAGAGAGAAACATCGATCAGCTGCCTCCTGCACACTTCCTACTGGGGACGTGCCTGCAACCAAGGTATATGCCCTTGACTGGAATCGAACCTGGGACCCTTCAGTTTGCAGGCCGATGCTCTATCCACTGAGCCAAACCAGTCAGGGCTGGTCAGATATTTAATTAACTCACCCCTAATTCCTTGGCAAGGCCAGACCAAATGATTTCTCTGGCCTTATGTGGCCTGCAGGCCGGATGTTCCCTACCCCTGGCTTAGTGAAGTTCTGGTAAGAGCATTTGTTACTAGCTGTCCTATAGATTTGAGCCAGTGCTGGAAACTGGACAGTTTCCAATTTTAAGACTCCTTTTTACTTATGAATGCCCTCTGATGGTGATAGGTAGAGTTGACCTGCTTTTACTCTAGCTTGTGTCCTTGCTTGTAATTATGTGGAAAGTGCATAATCAGAGGCACTACTATAATGGTATTTTTAACGTTCTTTTCTCTCCAGGATAAAAACCCAAATTGTTTATAAAAATGGAAAGAAGCATCACGTGTTTGTTTAACATCCTAAAACTCATATTTTACATCATCTTTTTTTTTTTAATGTATTTTATTGATTTTTTACAGAGAGGAAGGGAGAGAGATAGAGAGTTAGAAACATCGATGAGAGAGAAACATCGACCAGCTGCCTCCTGCACGCTCCCTACTGGGGACGTGCCCGCAACCCAGGTACATGCCCTTGACCGGAATCGAACCTGGGTCCTTTCAGTCCACAGGCCGACGCTCTATCCACTGAGCCAAACCGGTTTCGGCTACATCATCTTTTTTAAGTTGTGATTTATGAAATCACTTTATTGGTTGAAACCGCTGTGTTTATGGCTCAGAGATTCTTATCTTTAATAAATGTTTTTCAAACTGTGGATCACAACTTGTTAATGGATAATGAAATCAATTTAGTGGATTATAATCATCATTTAAAAAAGTAGAACAGAAACTAAAAAGAAGATATCAAATTTGTTTCCAAAGACTAAGATTAAATAGAACTTTTTGTGTGTTATATATTTACATTTATATGTGTGTATTTGGACACAATTTAATAATGTATTTCTCAGGATTGCAACTAAGCATTTGAAATCCACTAATTATTGTAATAGCCCCATCTACTGGTACTTAAGGATATCACCACTGAAGGATTTTAGTAAAGTAGTGACCTATGGTTATTTTCATGCTTTGTGCCTTTGTATGGATTTCTCCTTTGTGATTTGATAAGAATATATATATTCTGAATAGTATTTATCATTTATATATGTAGATTCTTTCTGATCAATACC